ACTTGGCATAAACAGACCCCATCACCATGACAAGTTATGTGACTAAACCATGCATCTACCTGCCATCCATCACCATGACATTAGTACCTGTGTTTACCCACTCCTTCATGATGACATAAATCATACTACCACTCAATCACATTAACAACCTGCCCCCACCAAAGGAAAGATTTAAAAAGCTCTAAACCTCAAGCAGCAGTGGCCATGCTTTTGTTCCCTAAGCTTTGGTCCCCTCCCCTATCTTGGGAGGTCAATCTCTTCTCTCTCTCTCTCTCTCTCTCTCTCATCTACTTTCTAAATAAATTATATTTCCCAATCTAATTTCTGTGCAATTCTTTGCATCTTACCCATGGCACCAGCTCAGCATACCAGCCCACAGACCTAATAATTCTCCCAAACCTAACAACTGAAAATGCTTTTCAGCCAGAATGGAAAAATTCATAAGCTGTGAATATCTGGTTGAGTACTCGGAAGGGTATTACCTTAGGAAAATGAGCTAAGTTAGCCCTATATTAAAGGCTGTTCTTGAACCATTCTAACAAAGCTTAATAAAGCCACAGATGGAACAAAGTGATTTCATGTAACTTAACTGCATGCCAGAGTTAAGTCCAACAGTACTCAAAGAACCACAATAAAATTCAACAAACAATAATATAAATTCATAATATTTGGTGCCAATAAAAAATTACCAGCCAAAAGAGGCAAATCTCTTGTGCCACAGAATTCCAAATGATTTATGTAGATACTCTACCCTCAAAGAGGGGGATGTAACTACTCTTAAGTGTGGAGTGTGCATGGTGACTGGCTTCCAAATTGTACCAGTAGAACAAGATGGACTTTACAGTGGAGAAGCCTGACAAGCTCTCCCTCAGCCAGGTAATTAAAGCCAACATCAACAGTCATAAATTATGTCAACAGTAGTACTCTTAATATGATGTGATGAAAATGGTACTTTAGCACTCTTCTCCTAACTCATAACCCAAGTTTTATTATGAGAAAAACATCAAACAAATTGCAATAGTGCAGCATTCTGCAAAGCACATGACCAGTACTCTCCAAAACTGTCAAAGTCATCAAAAACAAAGAAAGTCTCAGAAACTTCCATAGCCAAGAGGAACCTAAGTGTAATGTGGCATCTTAGATGGGATCCTGAAACAGGAAAATGATGTTGGGTCAAAATAAGAAAATCTAAAGTAACTATGGACTTGAGTTCATAATAATGTATCAATTTTGGTTCATTAGTTATAAAAGGTGTTAAGCGTAAGATGTTAATAACAGGAAAAACTGAGGATGGGGTATATAAGAAAACTCTATATTATCTTTTCAATGTTTCTGTAAAATTTAAAAATCCAAAAGTGTTCTAAAAAATAAAGCCAATTAGAAAGAAAAAAATTACCAGCCATGCACAGCAGCAGAAGATATGACTCACAGACCCAGAAATGACAATGATGATGAAATTAGCAGACAAGGACATTAAAATGGTTATAAATATCTTTCATTTGCTCAAGAATGTAGAGGAAATGTATGAACATGGTAAGGATAAAAATAGAAGATATAAAAAGACCCAAATGAAACTTTCAGAAATGAAATTACATATATGAAATGGAAAATATCTTGAACAGTGTTAACAGATTGGCCGGTGAAAAAAAAGATGAGACAACATGAATAACAATAAGTACCATTCAAAATGAAGTGCAGGAGGAAAAAAACTAAAAGAAATACTGAGCATCAATGACAGGAGACAACTTGACAATATCAAATTGTATAACATAAGTAAAATTAGACTCCAAGAAGGAGAGGAGAAAAGGGAGTGGTAAAAAAAGTATTTGAAGAAATACTAGCTGAATTCCAAATTTGATGAAAACTATAACCCTTAGATTAAAAAAGCTCATGAACCCAAGCAGAATAAATATAAAGAAAATCACACCAAGACCCCATATAATCAACTTAGTGGAAGCAAGTGACAAAAAGCAAGTCTTAAAAGCAGGCAAATATGGCTGGGCATGGTGGCTCACACGTGTAATCCCAGCACTTTGGGAGGCTGAGGCAGGAGAATTGCTTGAGCCCAGGAGTTCGAGATCAGTCTGGGAAACATAAAAACTTAAAACTAAGCCGGGCTCAGTGGCTCAGCCTGTAATCCCGCGCCTTTGGGAGGCTGAGGTGAGTGGATTGCCTGAACCTGCGGGTTTGAGACCCGCCTGGGCAACTTGGCAAGACCTCATCTCTACAATAAATCAAAAAAATTAGCCGGGCATGGTAGTGCACGCCTGTAGTTCCAGTTACTTGGAAGGCTGAGGCGGAAGGATTACTGGAGCCCAGCAGGTCGAGGCTGTGGTGGCCGGGAGCGGCCACTGCATTCTGGTCTGGGTGAGAGAGTGAGACTCCAACTCAAAAAAACAAAAACAAAAAACAAAAAAAACTTAAAACTAAAAGGCACTCAGTCCAAAAGAAGTTAGGATCAAAAGACAGATGGTATGAATACAAAACAAATGCAAGACTTCATCTCTAAAAACAACAACTAACCAGGCCTGATGGCATGTGCCTGTAGTCCCAGCTACTTGGGAATTTGTAGCAGAAGAATCACCTAAGCCCAAGAAGTCAAGGCTGCAGTGAGCCTTGATTATACAGGTGCGCTCCAGCCTGGGCAACAGAGTGTGGCTCCCAACTTAAAAAAAAAGGAAAAAAAAGTATACTTTGTTAGGTTTTTATACTATATGAAAAGTGCTATTTATTTGGAGATAGAATGAGTTAAAGATGTATATTGTAAAATCCTAAAGCAATTAAAAATGAAAGAGAAATGAAAAATAAAACAAAAAGTACAGATAAGGTAAAAAGAAGATGAAAGGAAAAACTAAAAAGGCACCCAGTCCAAAACAAGGCAGGTATAGAGAAAAAAGGAACATAATACAGATGGTATGGATACAAAACAAATATAACATGGTAGATTTAAATCCAGTTATACTGATAATATCATTAAATGTATTTAGTCAAAACACCTCAATTAAAAGGCAGAGATTGTCAGATTGAATAAAAAGGCAAGACTTAACTATATTCTAGCTACATAAAACGTACATAATAAAAACACAAATAAGTTTAAAAAAATCACGTGACAGGAAAAAACATACTGCGCAAACACCAATCTAAAGAAAAGCAGAGTGGTAATATTGATATTAGACAAAATAGACTTCAGAAAAAGGAATAACAGGGATAAAACCCATTTCATAATTATAATGGAACACTTCATAATTATAAGGGGATTGAGAAATCAAAAGGTCATAACAATCTTGAGTATATTCACCTAATAATGCTTCAAAATACATGAAGCACATTTAGGATTTGTATGACCTTTTGATGACTCGGCAGGTAAATTTAAAAACGTTTGTTCTTTGAAAGACCCTGTTAAGAAATAAAAAGGCAAGCCATAGAAAGAAAGTATTTAAGAAACATATCTGAAAAGGATTTGTATCCTTTATAACTTAATAATAAAGCAATCCAGTAAAAATATGAACAAAAGATTGAACACAACCAAAAAGATATATGAATAGCAAAGAAACTCGTGAAAGACACTCAACCAGATTGGTCATTAGAGTTTTGCAAATGAAAACCACAGTGAGATACTACTATACATCCAATAAAATGGTTAGAAGATTGACAATATCAAGTTTTGGAAGGATATAGAGAAACTGAGACTTCCAACCATTGCAGGTAGGAATGTGAAATGGTACTGTCACTTTAGGAAAAAAATAGTAATTTCTTATCAAAATAAACCTACTTAACACACATCCAGCAATCCTACCACTAGGTATTTACCTCAAAGAAATGAAAACACAAATATTTATAAACAAATGTTCAGGCAACTTTATTCATAATAGCCAAAAACTGGGAACTATTCCCACATCTATCAAATGAATAAGCAAATTGTGATATGCCCGTAAAACATGATTACTGATACATGCAACAACACAGAATAATCTCAAATAGCAGTATACTAAGTGAAAAAAAGACACAAAAAATGATATAATGTATGTTTTCACTTATATGAAAAGTTAAAAAAGACACATTTAAAGTGAAATAAAGCAGATCAGTGAGTGTCAGAAGCTAAAGGTAGAAAGGATTGACTATAAAGGGACTATTGGGGATGATAAAAATGTTCTATATCTTGATTATGGAGATGTTTATTTAAGTGTATATATTTGTCAGAACTCATGAAATTGTGCACTTTAAATTGGTCAGTTTTATTCCATGTTAATTATACCTCAGTACAGTTTGTTTTTTTTCTATGTCAATTATCTAGAAAAATTGTTAACAGGGATGACTTTTGATTTTCATGAAATGAAGTAGCTATAAACAATAGTAATAATGATGTGTCTATATAAAATCTATACAAACTTTATATATAATTTTATTTCTAAAAGAGTTTTATTTAGAACTTTATTTAATGGTCTTGAAATGCTATTGTGTGCTTTTGTTCGCTCAGTCTTTTGGTATCTGCAAGAACAAATAACAGTGTCTTTATCAGGAAAATTAATTTAACTTATTGATTCTGAAGCACCAAAGATCTAAACAATCTCCTAAGATGTTATATTCTATGCAGTGAACATCCTGTACAAGCTCAAGACAACTTGTAAAGTTCCTATGTATGTACAAAGAGTATGTACAGAAACCTTCAGAGCAGAGAAGCCTCAGGGATTCATATAGCCAATTTAGTAAAACAGGATAAAATTTTGGCTATTGTCATATTTGATAGAATAGTCTAACAAAATCATAGGCTGCTAAATAATTCCAATATTGGAGTCTTATCTATTTATCAATACGAAGTCATAAATTCTTAGGTCTTGGCACCAGAAGAAATTTAATCCTACCAACCAGCCTTCTTTCTGCTAAACTTGAACCTACCCCCATGCCAGACTCTAAAGACCTAATGAGGGCCACTGAAAAGATCCCATTGATGAAACACAGATTAGAAGCCCCAGGAAACAATAGTTAATACCCATTAATACCTGGAGAGAGGGTAGACTGCATTTCCCTCCATATCATGTATTGAATGGGACCTTTGAACTGGCCCAGGTTCAACTTTCTGGAGATAAGCTCTCTGGTTGCCAGCACCCTAGTTCCTTGCTCCAAGCTGCAGGGGACATAAATCATGTATCATTAAACATTCTGTAAGGACTGAAGGAAGAGTACTAAAAGTACCATAGGGAAACACTTACCTATCCAAGAGAGTTGTGATGTCCTAGAAGAGGAAAGGAGAAATAGAAATGTCAGATGCCAGTTCATCAACTCCAGAAATTTCATCTGGCAGTGATGCTGGCCACTACCAGAATTTGTGTAGACGGCCCCCAACCCACCTCTTCCAACTTCCTTCATCCTTCATATGTTTATCTGATCTTCATCCCTAATCTAACCTAGGTTAAACTGGCCTTACATGGCTCTGATTTTCTAGAGTTCCCTTTTATAGGGAACAAGACAGAAGCCAATAACTTAAGGTTAAGTTATTTTTAACCACACTTTCGAATAGTCTCAGAAGAAAAACACAATAGATATTCCAGTCCCAAGGCCTCTTTTCCTTACACTAGCTAATTAAGCTTCTGGGTGCTGAAGTGGTCATCAACTCCTCTTCAGAGGTGAAGCTTCAGATAGCAAATGTTGGCAAACAGCTTTTTAGACAGGTCAACTTATGATTGCTGAGAGCCAGTCAAAGATACAACTCAAGCTGCAACATTTTTATTTTTGAGAAATAAAGCTTCAAAACTCTTTATGAAAAAGTGTTAAAATATTAATACATACTATTATTTGAAGGGTGCAGGAAGCGACCAGAGGGGCGGCTCCCAGAATGGTGCCGAACATGGTGAGGACACACCAGACAACAAAGGCCCTAGGTCCCAGCTTCTGTGTGCACAATTCCCCGTGCACGCGAAGTTCAAACCTGCAAGCCTCCAATCCTTAGCCAGCTTTGTTTTGCGTCCAATAGGACTATAACATGGCGTCGGCCCCACCCTGCTCCCGTGCCGCTCCTTCAATAAGAACCTAGCACAGCCCCTTCCGGCCCCTGTCAGGCTAGTAAGTACAGCCCTCTCCCTGCATATCTCTCTCTTGGTCTCTCTTTCTCTCTCTCTCTGTCGCTCTCTCCCTCTCTGCAGCTCTCTCCCCGCCTCTCTCCCACTTCCTCTCTCTCTCTCTCTCTCTCCACAGACCCTTTCCCTTTTTCCCTTGTAACCGCCACTTTAATAAATCTCTTGGCCTTAAACGGGTGAGGAGTCATTACTGGCGCCAAACTTCTTTCATTGGTGCCGTGACTCAGATCGGGTACTCTCCCACCCTTGTGCGTGTCTATCCCCATAGGCGGGACCCCCTCACCCGGCACCGGTGGCCACTCCAGCCCTCCCAGACCTTCCCACTGTTTTGAAGGCGTGACCTGCATCCACCAGTGACCATTGGATAGGTGAGTTCCCCAGACACAGAAGCCTGAAACTTACCCAGGATCCCTGGGGGGAACAGACCATTGATCATCCGGCAGCCCCTCCGGCCCCAGGGCGAGGGGGAACGCACCCCACCTCGGCCTTCATGGCCACAGCGGACCCTAAAGGCTTCCTCTTCTCTTTCATTTCTTAAACCTTAAAACTCCCGCAGCCGCTGGGCTGCAGCGGGCCCCAGGGGTCCCACGTCTGCTAGCCCGCAGCGGATCTTGCACAACTCTCTCTCCCCGCCCCAAGGAATCCCACAGCTGTTAGACCACAGCAGACCCCAGGGGTCCCACGTCTGCTGGCCCACAGCGAATTCTGAAGGACTCCTATATCTGTTGGGTAACAGGGAACTTCAGAGGCTCCATGTTTGTTGCCCCACAGTAAGCCCTATTTGACCGGCAGGAATCTCACACTCCCACCCCCCGCCCAGTCAAGTGCTTTCTGTCTGGTTCAAAAATCCTTGTGCTAGGTGCCTTGACCCCCTCGGTTCTCCAGGAGAACTCTGGTTGTGCCAAACCCCTGTGACGACAGGCTTTGCTACAGCCGCACTTCTTGGACAGCTGGCTCTTCGGGGGGATGCCCCGTTTAGTCTACCTGTCTCACCATGGGAGGCTTGTCATCTGTGCCGGCTGATTCCCCTCTTAAATGCCTCTTAAACAATCTCACTACACTTTCTCTTTCCCCGATATCAAACCCAAACACCTAATTCATTTCTGCACGTAAGACTGGCCAACATACCCCTTAGACAACCAAAATCAGTGGCCTATGTATTTTCTGTGAGTGTTCAAAATGGTGGGTAGAGATTCCCTATGTTCAGTCTTTTTCTCTCCTCCATAAACATCCTCGCCTGTATCTCAATTGGAACCCCTCTAACTTCCACTCTCAACTCATGCTAGCATCTACTGCTTCTCCAACAACTTCTCTTTCTCCCATTATTCCACGCACGTGTGAGCCTCCTCCTCTAAGTTCCCCTCCCCTCACTGCTTGATAACCCCTGATAGCAGCCCTACCAGCTGCAACAAGTCTTTGTTGTTTCCTTATACTAAATTTCTCTCAAGTTATATCTAAACCAGGTCTATATCAACCTTCTTCCCAGACGAAAATAAAGAGATCATGTAAATAAATCCTGTTAGCTAACTACAAAAAGGTGTTAATAAACAGGCTAGCTAGGACAGAATAAAAGAGGTTTTTCAAAGACCAGATAAAAATCCAACAGTGTTTCTAAGTTGCCTCTCTAAAACATTGCAGCAGTTTACTAATATTGGTTTAAACTCTGTAGAGGAACAAATTCTTTTGGCTATGTATTTTATCTCCCAGTCAGCACTGGGTATTAGGCATAAACTCCACAAATTAGAAAAGAGCCCACAAACCCCTCAATTAGAGCTATTGGACACGGCCTTTAAAATCTTTAACAACCCAAAGAAGGAAGAAATACAGGACCACCAACATAAACGGAAAGCACTTCAGCTTTTATCTACCATGTTAACAAAAAAGCCACCACTGATAATCTTCCACCCCAGATGGTCAATAGCAGAAGGGGTACACAGCCCCCTTCCCAGGTTTGTTTCTGATGCCATCAAAATGGGCATATGGCCAAAGACTCTCAAGCCCTGCCTACCAGCAAAACCCTGTCCCAAATGCAAACAGCATGGACATTGGGCTCATGATTGCCTCATTCGCCCAGAAGGAGGAGAGCACATGGCCCAGAGGCTTGCTGCAATTAAGGGACACCAAGCATCTTACACAATCTCAGAAGGGGATCTCTCGGGCTTGCTCCAGTCAGATTGACTCGCCACTAACTTGGTAGCCCCAGTGTCTTCGGAACAAACCATTAAACCAACCGAGCCTAGGGTGGAAATATCAGTAGCTGGCGGGGTTATATCATTTGTTATTAATACGGGGGCTACATGCTCAGATCTACTTACATTTCCTGGTCCACTCCTTCCTTCACCCCTTTTGGTTGTGGGGGCACAGGGCATTATATCCAGGCCCCTCACTATACCATTACTTCCATGTGTTCTGGGAGATAAAGTATTTCAACACTCTTTCCTTGTTATGCCAACGTGTCCAGCTCCATTATTGGGAAGGGACATTATGACAAAAATTAAAACTCACACCACTGTACTTTTTGGGTGCCTTTTGTATAGCTTTGGATTTCCCTAATAGTTCCACATTGGATCCTATCTAAGCCCTTCCACTACATATAAACTTATTGCTTTGGTTAGAGCTCTGAGGTTAGGAAAAATGTAAAGAAAGTTGTTGGTGTAAGGTATGTTTTTAGTAAGAAAGGATAAAGAAAAGATAAATAATTGTATAGGAAAGAATCTTGTATGGTACATTTTGTTCTATAATAGAATGGCTGGTTAAAGAAAGCATAGAACAAAAATAGAAGGTTTAAGCATGTCAAAGAATGGTATGAGTTTATTGAACAAGCATGTCAAGAATGGTATGAGTTTATCGAACATGTTAGGTGAAAGTTAGTGGAAAAAAGTGAAAGAAATTCTGTAAACACTCGAGGCTACAAAAAGGGTTCCATAAATTTACCATTAATATCAATTACACTAATGCTAGGCCAACATGCTACTCGAAGGCCAGAACATGAGCTTCTTAATTAACAATCTCCAAAAATTTTCTTCTTTAAATAACAGAGGGGAGAAAAAAGAGACAAAATTCAATTACCCTCCCCCCTCCCCTACTGTCTTTGTTACAAAGAGTGAGGTTTTTTTTTTCCTTTTCAAATCGTTGCACTATCATTTTGGCTAAATAAGTAACTTTTGCAATAACTACTGTGATTTTGTGTTGTAACATGCTTTTAAAAACTTTAGTCAATATTACAAACAGACAGCCAAAGTCACCCCATTTTCCTGGCTCTCAATAGTCCAACAGGGAGGCACTTGCCTCTTTCTAATTTGTGTTTTTGTTTAATACCCCCATATATCTTTAAATTTCTCCAACAACGCTTAACTAAACTCTCAAATCAAAACCTCAACCTCCTGTTATTCAATAGTTATCAACCTGTCCCAATAGAGGAGTCAACACCTTGTCCCTAAACATCACTTAATTTTTCTTTTAGATATGCTCTCTTCCAGGTTCTCTATTTACCTCCACAGTCTACTCCAAGACAGCTGGTTACTACCGCCCTCGGACCCACTGGAAGACTGGCCGGAACAAGTTGCTGTCCTACACTTACAAGGAACCTTCATGGAACTCTCACCTGCGGAAATCTACACCTTCAGCGCCTACCTTTGGGCCCTGCTCTGGCTGGTTCTACACCCTTCCACCACCTTATCCCCACAATGCCCCCAACCAGCAGGAAGTAGCCACAAAGAGTAACGATGCCCCTCCCCATAAGAACAGAAAAGGTGGGAATGAAGGGTACAGGAAACAATCAGAGAGGCGGCTCCCAGAATGGCACCGAGCATGGTGAGGACACACCAGACAGCAAAGGCCCTAGGTCCCAGCTTCTGTGTGCACAATATCCCGCGCACTCGAAGTTCAAACCTGCAAGCCTCCAATCCTTAGCCAGCTTTGTTATGCATCCAATAGGACTATAACACGGCGTCGGCCCCACCCTGCTCCCATGCTGTTCCTTCAATAAGAACCTAGCACAGCCCCTTCCAGCCCCTGTCAGGCTAGTAAATACAGCCCTCTCCCTGCATCTCTCTCTCTTGGTCTCTCTTTCTCTCTCTCTCTGTCGCTCTCTCCCTCTCTGCAGCTCTCTCCCCGCCTCTCTCCCACTTCCTCTCTCTCTCTCTCTCCACAGACCCTTTCCCTTTTTCCCTTGTAACCACCTCTTTAATAAATCTCTTGGCCTTAAACGGGTGAGGAGTCGTTACTGGTGCCGAACTTCTTTCATTATTAATGGAGTTTTATTATCTTGTTTTCTGAGAGGTTGAAAGTAAAGCTTTCTGCTGAGCATAAAGCACAAGTAGCCTCCTGCTATTCTTCCAGAGAATCTTTTTTTTTTTTTAGTCAGGGTCTCATCTGTCACCCAGGGTGGAGTGCAGTGTACCATCACAGCTCAACACAGCCTCAACCTCCTGAGCGCAGGTAATCCTCCCACCTCAGCCTCCCAGGTATCTGAGACTACAAGTGTGCACCACCATGTCCAGCTAATTTTTTTTTTTTTTTTTTACTTTTGAAGAGACAAGGTCTCACTATGTTTCCCAGACTGTTCTGAAACTCCTGGGCTCAAGCAATCTTCCTGCCTCAGCCACCCCAAGTGCTGGGATGACAGGTGTGAACCTTCGTGCCTGGTCTCTTCCAGAGAATTTCAAAAGGACTGTAGCAGTTTTGTTTCATTTCCCTGGCAGTGAAAAAAATCACTTCTGATCCTTTCCAAACCTCTTCTCCCTTCTGGGTGCATCCATAATCATGTTATTATCATGTTATGGGGTCTTACTTTAAGAAAGTCAAAGGAATTCTGCTCATCCATCCGTGCCTGAATGCTCGCCAACATATCCTTGACTAGGAGACACTGCTCCTGAAGCTGGTTCAGATTCAGTTCCATCTCCTCATTCGAGGCTCTCCACTCTTCCCGGAGCTCATTTAAAATGTCCTTTTCTTTGCTGTGCAGGAACTGATGCAGCTTTAGAAACTCCAAGGACACATGTTGCTCCAGATGCAGCTTGTTTTCCTGGAAACCTCCATAATTATCAAACATGGTTATGACTAAAACTAGCACTTGGGGGTGGGGGCCCACACTACCAACACTCACACACTTGGGAAATGCCATCACAGAAAAATGCATACAAGTGGCTGCTGAATGTTAACATTCTACCATACTACAGGGAGTCCTTTGGGAGACTTACTCCTTCTTTCCCAACTAGTTTAATAATTCAGGATAGATTTATCAAAAGTGGTCTCTAGGTTTCTTCTTGCAGTACTGAAGTGGCAACCAGTGACATATTAAGTAAGACCATGGAGTTAAACAAACATTCTAGAATGAATAATACCCTCCTAGATTGGTAAACCAGTGTCTATCAAGTGGTACTGTTGGACTGGAGCCATTGGAAGGCTGGAAGAACTGTCACTGTCTAGAAATCAGAACTGGGAGGAGGGATGCCTCTCCTACTGCCAGGACAATATAAAAGAAGCAGATGATGAGCTATGTCTGCACTAAAATTGATAACTCTTTTCTTGGGCGACCTCAACATCCTTACAGGTGAACAATTTGGCACCCCAGCTTCTCAGTTCCTCATCCTCTTTATTCCTAATGATTGCCACCTTTATCTACTCTTGCCCACAGTCTCACCTAGGATTTTATCATCCCCAGCAATAGCATCATCTCCAAAAAAATGTTTTGTGCACTGGGCACAGTGGCTCACGACTATAATCCCAACATTTTGTGAGGCAGAGGTGAGAGGATTGCCTGAGCCCAGGAGTTTGAGACCAGTGTGGGCAACATGGCAAGACCTTGTCTCTACAAAAATTCAAAAAAATTAGTTGGGCTTGGTGGCACACGCCTGTAGTCCCAGCTACTTGGAAGCTGAGGCAAAAGGATTGCCTGAGCCCAGCAGGCTGAGGCTGTGATAGCTGTGATTGTGCTACTACACTCCAGCCTAGACAACAGAGTAAGACTCCAACTTAAAAAAAAAAAAAAAAAAAAAAAGACTGGGCACGGTGGCTCAGCCTGTAATCCCAGCACTTTGGGAGGCCGAGGCAAGAAGATTGACTGAGCCTGGGGGTCTGAGACCAGCCTGGGCAACTTAGTGAGACCTCGTCTCTACAATAAATCATTAAAACTAGCTGGGTGTGGTGGCATGCATCTGTAATTCCAGCTATTTGGAAGGCTGAGGTGGAAGGACGCCTGAGCCCAGCAGGTCGAGGCTGCGGTGACTGAGCATGCCACTGCACTCCAGCCTGGGTGACAAGAGTGAGACTCGAACTCCAAAAAAAAAAAAGTTTTTTGCACCAAGCTCACTCAGGCACTCATTGCAAAAATTATTGGATCTCTTTGAAACCTCCATTTCTTTTTTCTTTGTTTTTATTTTTGTTTTTGAGTCAGGATCTCACTCTGTCACCCAAGCTGGAGTACAGTGGCACAATCATGGTTCAATGCAGACTCCACCTCCTGGGCTCAGACAATCCTTCTATTTCAGCTTCCAAGTAGCTGGGACTACAGGCACATGCTACCACCACTGGCCAATTTTTTTAATAAGACAAGGTCTCGCCGTGTTACCCAGCATGGTCTCAAACTCCTGGGCTCAAGCGACCCTCCCATCTCAGCTTCCCAAATTGCTGGAATTACAGGTATGAGCCATCGCACCCAGCCTGACTGACTTCTATCTTCATATCCTTTTACCCAGCTTGAGTTCCATGGTCCCTAATTATTACACTCTCAAAATAGTCTTGCCTCTGCATGCTGGCTCATACCTGTAATCCCAGCACTTTGGGAGGCCAAGGTGGGAAGATCACTTGAGGCCAAGAGTTCATGACCAGCCAGGGCAACATCGTGAGACCCCCATTTCTCAAAAAAGGTCATAATAAGCCAGACATGGTGTAGTCCTAGCTACTCAGGAGGCAGAGGTGGGAGGATCCCTTGAGCCCAGGAGTTTGAGGTTACAGTGAGCTATGATTACACCACGAGACTCTAGCCTGGACAATAGTGAGACCCTGTCTCTAAAACATAAAAGGAAAAAAAAGAATAGTCTTAACTCCCTTTCTTCTCTAGCTCACACTTTTTTTTGGTTTACTGTTTACCCTTCTCACTACTATTTCTCAATCTTATTTGTTGGTTCCACTTCCTCTGTGCAAGCTCTAAATGTTATAATTAGTTAATATTCTGTCTTGGGCTCTTTTTCCTTCTCATTCTATACTTTTTTTCAAAGCAAGATCCTCTTCTCCTATGGCTTTAGATATCAGCTAATGCTTACTTCTTATGTCCAGCCTAGGCTAACTTCTGAGCTCTGTATTCCTAAATACAGTTACCTATTTGACATCTTTACCCATCCCTCACATCTGATCATTTACCATTTCCAGGTAATTTGTGCCTCCAAAGCATATCCTGAAGCTGTGTCTTTCTCTACATATCCACTGCCTTGCTAATCCAAGTCACCGTTATCATTCTCTGGGACCATTGCAGTACCCTTCTAACCATTGTCCTTGTCATTGCCTCTCTCTATTCCATTCTCCGCACAGCCAGCAGTGTGATATTTTCAAAATGAGACAAAATGTCATATCCATTCTAACAATATCTTGTTTACGAACCTTTAATGAACCAGCCTGGGCAACTTGGTGAGGCCTCATCTCTACAATAAATTTTAAAAAAATAGCCAGGCATGGTGGCACATGCCTGTGGTTCCAGCTGCTTGGAAGGTTGAGGCTCAAGGGTGTCCTGAGCCCAGCAGGTTGAGGCCGTGGTGGCCATGAGTGTGCCACTGCACTCCAGCCTGAACAGCAGAGTGAGACTCTGACTCAAAACAAAGCAAAACACCTTTAATGCCTTCTTATTGTTCGCTAAATGAAATTCAAAATTCTTAACATTATCTACACAAGGGCTCACATCTTGCTTAGCATATTCCAGCTTTAGGAGCCTTTTCTCTGTTTAACATAGCCACTGCCTGGTGTAGTGGGAGGTGGAGGCAAGAGGATTGCCTGAGCTCAGGGGTTCAAGACCATCCTGGGCAATTTGGCAAGACCTTGTCTCTACAATAAATCGAAAAATTAGCTGGGTATGGCAGCGCACGCCTGTAGTTCCAGCTTCTTGGAAGGCTGAGGCAGAAGGATTGCCTAAGTCCAGCAGATCGAGTTTGCAGTGGCCATGAGCGTGCCACTGCGCTCCAGCATGGGTGACAGAGTGAGACTCCAACTCAAAAACAAACAAACAAACAAAAAACATAACCACTGAATTCCAATTCCTGTCTCAGGATTTTTTCATATGCTCTTTCTCTTCCTAGTATATTCTTATTCGGGTCATTTCCTTTACATTCCCCTCACCCAGTTCACTTAGCTAAGTTACTTATCCTTCAATTCTCAATTTTTATTAAGTGACTTCTTCAGTGTACACCTCTCCTCCAGTATAGATTATGTTCTCCACTTATATGCTTTCACAATACACTATATTTTCACTTATAGTACTTATCAAAGTTGTCATTTTGTTGTTATTAGTGGGATTATTTAATTAACATTTGTCTCCCACTCCCCATCTAGTATAATGCCTGACCCACTCAATAAATATTTGTTGAATGAATGAATGTTGACTCTAATAGTGGAACTCCTAAAAACAGGAAAAAGATTCTCTGAAGACATCATAACTTCCATTCATTCTTCTTTTTTTCCTGAGTCTATATATTTCTTCTTTTACAAGCCAAGTGGTAGAGAAGGCTCTCCTCCACAGAATAATCAAATGATGAAAGAGAACTCCATTTAGTACCCCAACCTAAGGACTGATTTGCCAAATCTCTAGCCATTAATGTTGTTCTAGAGCTCCTATGAAGTTGAAATTGTATACAATAGCTTTATTTAGTTTGAGGACAGCCAAGAAAGATCATATTAGATAAGAAAAGCCAGCAATCTGAGAAACCTTGGTCCAGAGTTGTCTGGTTATAAACCTAAAGGAAAGTAGGGTATTTCTTTGGACATATCAATCTTTCGTAAATTTTTCTGGTAAGTTCCTTATTTTGCCATAGTTAAGGGAAAGACCAGTCAGATTTCAACTCCACAACAGTCACCTAGTGACCGAACCATCGAAAGGATCAGCATATCAGGGGAAAGGTCAGTCTGTTCTGTTAGTCAGCTACCATATTCTTTTCCACCCTACAGTTTCAGTTTTCCAGTTCTATAGCCCAGGTGCCATTTAGTGTACTGGTAATATATGTATACACAACTTTGCACTCATGGCTGAGTTACATGGAGGGTGTATTCCAGTTTCATCTTATAACCCCTCTACCCTGCTCCTCACCTTGTTAGAAGTAATAGCATCCTTCTGCATGTTCCTCAGGGACTGAAGTTCCTTCAGGGTTGTCTCTAGTTGACCCTGTTGGATGGTAAGTTCCTCCTGGGAATGCCAAATAGAATACCAAATAGAATTATCCTTGGGAGATGAAGGGCCTTAAAGGACATCTCCCTTAAAGCCCTAGTGTGCCCCAAAAGAGCGAACTCTCGCTGCAAAATTTTTTCCCGTTCCCTATATCACAGTTTCTGTCTCTTTCAAGAATTGTGAAGAAAATTACAGCAGAAAATTTAGTTCTGCTCTTTTATTAACTATCTACATGAGTATGAAGAAGGTAATAGAACTCTCTACATTTTCCACTCTAGTTATACTCTTTTCACCATCTATAATTGTATTTATTTGTTCTCACTTGAAACACTTGTTTCTTTTGCTCTTCCAAATCCAAATAATTTCCCATTTCAAGTCCCTTTCCTTTCTTTCACTATATAAGCTCTATTTCTATAATCTCAGAAATTCTGAACATTTATGAGTTACAAATGTGACAAAATTTAACTCTCAATAGTAGACTACCTTATATTTCTACTGTTGTTTTCTTCATTTTAAACTTGACCAAACTTTGAAGCTTTTATGACAAGAGCAATATCTTATATGTCCATGTTCTACACAGTGTTTAGTAGACTGCTGTTATGGCAGGGTTTAGGTAAATATTTGAGGGAATAGGCCAGAGCTCTCCACTGTTCCTTTCATAGAAGCAACTACTCTAGAGGAAGAATTTTGCAAGATATGTTGTATTTTCTGAGCAGTGTGGGCTTTCTAGTCATCATTTGGATAAAAGGATGGGGTTGGAAGAGAGAAGAAGCCCTTTAAAAGATTTTTCCTCTGATGGGATTACAGGATTGAGCCACACTGCACAAGGCTAAGAAAAAAAAAAGATTTTTTCTGGCTTACCAAGGCCCAGGGCTTACCTACCGTGAAGCAATGGACAGCATCAGAGATTTGCAGGAATTCCTTAGACTGCCCCACAGACAATCGAGCATCCTTGCATTGAAAGCAGATCAGTTTCCCATCTGGCTTACTGAACAGTTTCAGGTTCTCTCCGTGCTCTGGGCACTGTGGGTGACCCTTGAGTAGGGGTAGCTTCTTAATTTTCTCTACCAGCTTATCCAGTACAAGGTTGAATGTACAGTTGCTATATTGACATAGCATCTTACAATCAGGACAGATTGTTTCCTTTCCTTGCAGCTTCCAAAAGTTTTGAATACAGGCTTGGCAGAAGTTGTGGCCACAGCTTAGCATCAGTGGATCATGGAACCAATCATGGCACAGTGGACAGTATAGTTCCGTTGTAATGTCTTGTATCGCTGTTTTAGAGAGCAGGTGGGTGATTGAATCATTCATTTCAACATAGTTGCCTGGATCAATGTTGAAGGAGAGGTTGGAGGATACCTTTGGAAAAGAACAGCTAAAATGAGTTTGTCTTTCTTATTGCCCATTTCACACTCCAGAATGGTGGGCTCGATTCCTAAAGAGTTGAACATTGGTGCAACTAGAGTAATAGCACCATAATCTCTCCTTTGGAAGGGATCTGGTCAATTCATTGTTTCTTTTTTTTTTTTATTTAATCAGAGTCTCAGTCTGTCACCCAAGCTGGAGAGCAGTGGCATGCACATAACCATTGCAGCCTCAACCTGAGCCTCAGGTGACCCTTCTGCCTCAGCCTTCCAAGTGCTGGAACCACAGGCGTACACCACCATGCCTGGCTGATTTTTTGATTTATTGTAGAGGCAAGGTCTTGCCAGGTTTCCCAGACTGGTCTTGATCCTCTGGTCTCAAGTAGTACTCTTGCCTCAGTCTCCCAAAGTTCTGGGATTACAGGAAAGTTATTGTTTTCTAACATCATAGTTGTGACTCTATTTAAGCTTTAATAGAGCACTAAGGCAGAGAAAGAAACAATACTCAACCAAATAAGTATATTTCGTTGTATATCCCTCTCATCACCTACTTTCCTTTGTTTTACTAGTTATTACCTAGTTTACTAGTTATTTTTGTTTTCTAGAAATCATGTACAAAGAATCAGAAGACCAGTCAGATTCCTCATTCAGTGGCATGATATCATCAACCATCCAGCCCCTCTACTTCTTTTTAAAAAAACACATTTCAGGAATATAAGTATGGAAAAAATACAAAATCATGAGTATGTAATTCACTGAGTTTTCACAAAATGAACTCATCTGTGTGATCATCACACCAATCAAGAAACAGAACATGAGCAAGATCCCAGAAGTTCCCACATGCCAGTTTCAAGTTGCCTCCCCCCTCACTAAAGTTGACCCCATCCTAACTTCTAGCATTATACATTACTTTTGCCTGTTTTTGAACTTTATATAAATGCATCATGAAATACGTACTTTTTGTTGCTGGCTTCTTTTATTCGATCTTACATTTGTAGGATTTATCCCTATTGTTGTATATAACTGTAGTCCACTCATTCTCGTTGTATACTATTCCACTGCATAAATATACCATAATGTATTTCTTCATTCTTCTGTTGATAGACTTTTGGGTAGTTACCACTTTGGGGCTATTATAAACAGTGTTGCTAAGAACACTCTTGCTCATGTCCTTTGCTGAATATATGTATATATTTCTCTTGGTTGTATTCCTGGAAGTAGGTCATGGAATTGGCATATATTTAGCTTAGTAGATACTGCCAACTGTTTTCTAAGTGGTTGTATCAATTTATACTACCACTAGTATTGTTCTATATCCTTGCCAACACTCACTATAGGTGTATTCCTTTTAGCTATGAATATACAGTAGTATTGCATTGTGGCTTTAATTTCCATTTGCCTGACAACTGTGAATGTTTGGCCCATTTTTCTATGTTAATTGTTCATTTGCATTCTCTTTTTGTGAAGTGCTTGTTCAAGGCACCTATTTTTTGTTTTTTTTGTTTTTTGAGTTGGAGTCTCACTCTGTCACCCAGACTGGAGTGCAGTGGACGCTCCTGGCCACTGCAGCCTCAACCTGCTGGGTTCCAGCGATCCTTCCAACTCAGCCTTCCAAGGAGCTGGAACTACAGGCGCGCGCTACCATGCCCGGCTAATTTTTTGAATTATTGTAGAGATGAGGTCTCTCCAAGTTGCCCAGGCGGGTCTCAAACCCGTGGGCTCAGGCAATCCACTCACCTCAGCATCCCAAAGCGCGGGATTGCAGGCTGAGCCACCGAGCCCAGCTCAAGGCACCTATTTTATTGTTGAGTTTTCTGTCTTTTTATTTATTCACAGAAGTTCTTCATATATTCTAGATATGAATTTTTACCTCATACAAGCATTGCAAACATCTATTTGTACTCTCTGGGTCATCATTTCACTTTGTTAATGATTTTTTAATAATAATTCTTAGTTATTTTTTAAACTTTTTTATTTTTAAGTATGACACAAATACACAACAATATAAAAGAAATATATAGCATATTGAATTATTAATAAATAAACATTCATGAAAGGAGACAGAGCCTTGCTGGCTGTCCCAGAAGCCCTCCATATACTCCCTACCATCTACATGCCCATCCCCCTATAACTGAGATGAAAACTATCCTGAATTTTGTGTTATTTCCTAACATTACTTTATAGTTTTAACACATATATGTCTAAATGATATACTATTTCATTTTACCTAGTTTGATGTTTATATAAACAAAATTAAATTTTATATATTTGTCCCTGCCTTGCTTTCTTCATTGTGTTTGACCCACTCTTAGCAATTCCCTGTGTTCTAACACAGTTATGGATTTATTATTCTTATATAAATTTTAATGGCATTTAAAAAATAAGGATAAGTAAGTGCACCCTGCTTTTGCTGAGAGCATTTAAAGGCAAAAATTTTGCCCACAGCAGACAAACTGTGGAACAGGATAAGTGTCTTTGTTTGTTTGTGTTACTATAAAGAAATACCTGAGGCCGAATAATTTACAAAGAAAAGAGGCTTATTTCACTCATGGTTCTGCAGAATGTACAAAAAGCATGGTACCAGCATTTGCTTCTGGTAAGGGCTTCAGGCTTCTTCCACTCATGGAAGAAGGCAAAGGGGAGCTGGTGTGAGCAGAGATCACACGGCAAGAACAGAAGCAAGCACAGGGGAGGTGCCAGGTTTTTTAAACAATCAGTTATCATGGGGACTAGTAGAGCACTCATTACTGTGAGGATGGCACCAAGTCATTCATCAGGGATCTGCCTACATGACCCAAACAACTCCCATTAGGCCCCACTTCCAACATTAGGATCAAATTTCAACATGGGTTTTGGGAGGACAAATATCTACACCATAGTAATAAGCAACAGACAGACCAAAAGCCTGAGAAGGAAGAGGCTGGAAAAAGAGATAGATGAGGGAGCAAAGTTTTTAAAATCTCCCTCATATACCTGGTAATGAAGAATTCCATGAGCATGTCCAGATATGAACACACACTTTTAAAAAGCCTGAGAAGACCCTACATTCTCACCTCCTCCTGACCTTCAGGTTCTATGTGAGCAGGAAGTAAATGTGAAGGCAGAGCTGTAAACAGCCTGACTAAGTGTTAATGGAACATAATAACACAGATTCTATTGGCAAAGACTGTAAGAGTACTTTTTTCTTTTCGGCTCCAGGCATTTGAGGAAACTGTCAAAACACTAGCTGACCACTGAGCTACAGGAACACAGCTTTCAATGACTACACATGACAAAGATAACAGACTTTACAAAAATAGTTTAGAAAAGTTACTAAACACGCAAACAACCCACAATAAGCAGCTAACCCCAAGGATGGGAAGAATCTGACTTCCAGAGTTACCAAAGTATAATATCCAACATGTTCAATTTTCAACAACAAAAAAAAGTATGGCCCATTCATAGAAAATATTGCTAGAAATTTTCCCTAAGGAAGCCCAGGCATTGCATTTACTAGATGAAGACTTTATATCTTAAATATGCTCAAAGAGCACAAAGAAACCAGGAGAATAATATCTCACCAAATAGAGAATACCAATAAAGTCCTTGAGCTGCTCACACCTGGACCTCCACTATATTTGTGGGTCAAGACAACATGTAACTGGAAACCTCTGGCTTCTATTTTTCAATTTGCATATCATCTCCTTCTGAAGGATAAAAAAACTTAAAAATAGAAGACTTGCCAGGCGTGGTGGCTCACACCTATAATCCCAGCACTTTGGGAGGCCAAGGTGAGAGGACTGCCTGAGAAAAGGGTTCAAGACCAACCTGGACAACTTGGTGAGACCTCATCTCTACAATAAATCAAAAATTAGTTGGGCGTGGTGGCACGTGCCTATAGTTCTAGCTACTTGGAAGGGTGAGGTGGAAGGGTCACCTTAGCCCAGCAGGTGATTGGTTGTGAATCTGCTACTGCACTCCAGCCTGGGTGACAGAATGAGACTCCAACTCCAAAAAAAAAAAGGTAGAAGACTTATTCCGAGGCAAAAATCCCAATTGGTCTAGAGGTTGCCCTCCTGCTCTTGAGAACAGAAAAATATAATTCATCTACAGAGAAAAACCATATGGCACAAGTAGCTCAAACACAAGAGCAAGACACACTCCTGCTTCACGAGTCATACCATTCTCATGTAAGAAGGAAAGATTCCAAACTTTCTGATATCTTGGAGTCTGAAAGTTGAGATTTTAAGGCCTTAAATTCACTCTTTTCCAGCCTTTGCCTGGACATTTGAAATAATGAAAAGCTCACTATCACACAAACAGTATTTATACTACTATGGAAAAATGTCTATTTTTACTGACTTGGTATTAAAGGAATAAGAATACAGTAGGTATAGGCAATAGTATTTCTTTTTTTTCTTACAGATTGTAAATAAAATACTTATAGCCCTGTTTGCTTCAACAGTTGACAGAGATGAGTAAGAGCAAACCCAAATCTAAAGGAAATTAGAAACTGATCTTAATTATTAATATACATATAATGAAATAAAACATTATAAGGAGTGGAAACCGGTGGAAATTATGATAATTCAGAACATAAGGGTCTATGTGTCAACATTTCTTGTCAATTAATTCTTGTGTTTTTCAGCTTTCTTATATTAAGTAAAGATTTTATTTTGTCTATCTGATAATCAAGAAAACGCTAGGTTAAGAAGAATGTAATATCCTTTATTTTACTTCTCAAAAGATCTGAAGTGAGAGAATTCAATTTGAAGATGTTCAACTTCTTTGAGAATCAACTCTGCTTTAAATATAAACTATCAAATGTGATAGTATAAATGAGAAAACAACATCTTACATTATAATTTTAATCTAAAATGAATAAAGTGATTACATTATTAAGAAAGGTAAATTCTTGTGTAGCATATAGTTTAATTTTTCTCAAGATGTTTTGGTGGATTTCATTACTTTACTATCAACTTCTCTAATATAAATTCTCAGTTATTCCAAGGCCTGGAGAGAGCACAGAAGCTACCAGCTGTCACAAATTAAATATTTCCCTTCACAAATTTCATTTCGTGGTCCCAAATCCATATCCCCTTCTATGATCCTGTTTTCCACTGTGCCTAGAAAACCTGCCAAGTTTAAAAAATAAAAAGAGTAACTCACATCCATGAAGCTTGGTCATGGGGCCGCCAGGGCACAGAGGCAGGCACTTGGATCAGAGCTCAGCAGGCCCAGGATAGCTGCTGACCGGGAGTCAGGAACCAATTCTAGAAATGAACTCAGAGCATAGCAGAAGGAAGAAATGTTCAGGAGCTGGAGAGAAGGTGCAAGGCTAGAGTGAGGTCTGGCAGATTCTGTGACAGTTTGTCAGTTGCTTTGATCATGGCTTGCTTAAGAGAAAGAGATCTTTTTTATTTGAAGGGGTAAGGGGAAGCTCATCTAGATTAGTAGTCTAATCTTAAGGTCACAGATCCCCATCTTTGGACTAGGCTGCTCTGAGAAAATGAAAATAAACATCATTACCAGTCTATAAGTCTAATTCATGAGCAATAACCACCTCACCCCTGCTCATGATCCCAGCACAGCATCAAGACACCAGCTGAGTGGCTTTAATAAGAAAGCTGAAACAACTCTGAATCTATCTTTGAGAAAGTAATACAATATTGGAAAATGCCAGGCCCTCAGGAAGCAAAGGGAAAGCCTCATTTCTTTTTTTTTTTTTTTTTGAGTTGGAGTCTCACTCTCTCGCCCAAACTGGAGTGCAGTGGCCGCTCCTGGCCACCACAGCCTCGACCTGCTGGACTCCGGCGATCCTTCCGCCTCAGCCTTCCAAGTAGCCGGAATTACAGGCATGCGCTACCACGCCCCGCTGATTTTTTGATTTATTGTAGAGATGAGGTCTCGCCACCCAGGCGGGTCTCAAACCCGCGGGCTCAGGCAATCCACTCACCTCAGCCTCCCAAAGGCACGGGATTACAGACTGAGCCACCGAGCCCGGCTGAAAGCCTCATTTCTTACAGCTTTCTTCAACTGTTTTAGCTCACGTTGATATATACTAACACTGTCCTCCTGAGTGATCTACAACAGCCATCACAGAGCCAAACAGTTTTCTTACAGTAATTCCTCTAACTCAATATATTTTCTTGAAGTAGTCTAGCTCCTGCCTAACTGTCCAGCCTTAGCCCCCACAACTTTCTCCAGTGTTTGGGTTTGCCCAAATATGTCATACTTCTGCCCCTTTGCACATCTTGTTTCTTCTGCTGGGGTTCTCTCCTCCCCCATATCCTAGTCATGATCTCTTTACTAAGCTCTTCCCTAACCACCCCCCTACCAAACTTTACCCACTGTACATCCCTTGTAAAAAATATTTTGCTGGTTCCATATCAGAGTTTCCCATCCTCAGCCCTATTGATATTTCGGGCCAGCTAAGTCTTTGTTATGGAGGACTGGGCTATGAATTTTCAGATGTTTGGCAGCATCCCTGGCCTTTAACACACCAGATGTGTAGAGCAATCCTCTTGCCTTTGCCTCCCAAAGGTATGAGCTGTAGTCAAATGTCTGCTAGGGGCAGGAGTTGGAATTACTCCCCTCATTGAGAACCACAGTTTTACACATTTTCATAGCACCCTAGATCTTTGTACATGTCTATACCATTGGCCTTAACCGAATGTATTTTATTGTTTGATTGCATGTCTACCCCTCCACTAAGTTGTAGATAATGGCAGGGTAATATTGTGTCTTGCTCACCTTGACAGTACATGATATTTATTGGATCAAATTATTTGTCAAATAAATTGTGATGATTTTCACTTAGAAATTATAAGTCAAAAATTAGTTTTGTTTCATCTTGATTTTAATAATGCTTTAGATGATTGTACTAAAGCCTGGAGTCTGCACTTTCTTGAACCTTTAGCCCAGTGTTGCGAATACTGGCCTAGAAGATGGAAATTTTTTCTCTCACCAGAGCATTGAGTAGCCTTAGCTAAGACATTTAACTACTCTGGGTATCAGTTCCCTCTTTTTTAAAATGTGAATACCTAAGACCGCCCCCTCCCCTTCTCTAGAAGCTGTGATTCCAAATCTTATGTATGAGAGGTCCCAATTGTAGGTATTTCAAGTCTTTTTTTTACTATTTAAAAACAGTTTCGAGTGGGACAGACTGTTACATCTAAGAAAATATACATACCAAGTTTTACCATATAACTAGTAGGAAAAAAAGTAATAAACCAAAATTACTTTTCTCTTTCCATTCTCAATTATGTCATATACAAAATAGGAGCTGGTCACAGTAACTCACACCTGTAGTATCAGCACTTTGGGAAACCAAGGCAAGAGGATTGCTTGGACCTAGGAGTTTGAGAACAGCCTGGGCAACATAGTGAGACCTCGCCTCTACAAAAAAATAAAAAATAAGCTGGGTATGGTGGCATCCGCCTATAGTCCCAGCTACTCAGGAGGCTGAGGTGGAAGTGTCACCTAAGCCCAGGAGATTGAGGCCATGATGATCCCTGATGGTGCCACTGTACTCCAGTCTGGGCAACAGAGTGAGACCCCAACTCAAGAAAATAGGGAATATAATACCTACCTTTTGGATTGTTGCAAGGATTAAATAAGATAATGTACGCAAAGTGAGCACATAATGAGCACCCCAGAAATGGTAATAGCTATTATTATTATTGCAACTACCATTGATATGCAAATCAACTTTCTGTCTTGAAATATATCAAGAGATACACAGGCATGCCTCAGAGATATTGCAGGTTCAGTTCTAGACCACCTCAATAAATCCAATGACACAAATTTTGTCTCCCAGTTCACATAAAAGTTATGTTTTCACTATACTGTAGTCTATTAAGTATGGAAGAACATTACGTCTTTAAAAATGTACATACCACCGGGAGCACTTTGGGAGGTTGAGGCGAGAGGATTGCCTGAGCACAGGGGTTCGAGATCAGACTGGGCAACTCGGTGAGACCTCAACTCTACAATAAATCAAAAAATTAGTCAGGCATGGTAGCATGTACCTATAGTTCTAGCTACTTGAAAGGCTGAGGCAGAAGAACTGCCTGAGCCCAGCAGGCGTGAGCTTGCCACTGCACTCCACCCTTGGTGATAGAGTGAGACTCCAACTCAAAAAGAAAAAAAAGTACGTACCTTAATGAAAAAATAATTTATTGCTAAAAGATGTTAATGATCATCTAAACCTTCAGTTACTTGTAATCTTTTTGCTGGTGGAGGGTCTTGCCTCAGTGTTAACTGCTGCTGACTGATCAGGGTGGTGGTTACTAAAAGTTGGGTAGCTGTGGCAATTTTTAAAAGTGAGACAACCACAAAGTTTACCACACAGATTAACTCTTCCTCTTTTTTTTTTAGGCGATCCTTCTGCCTCAGCCTTCCAGGTAACTGGAATTACAGGCATGCGCCACAACACCCAGGTAATTTTTCTTTATTTTTGTAGAGATGAGGTCTCGCCAAGTTGCCCAGGTTGGTCTCGAACCTGTGGGCTCAGGCAATCCTTTCTCTTTTGCCTCCCCAAATGCTGGGATTATAGATATGAGCCACCGCGCCGGCTTTGCTTCAGTTCTTAAAAGAGATAATATAATCCCATGCTTCCACTAGAACGAACCCTGCTTTGTGCTTATACTCCAAATCTCTATCAAATTTCCCTTCCTGATGAGCTATGCTAGACAATGAAGTAACAAAAGTCAGTGTTCCCAAACACATCTATGGTGATGATAATCTGAACAGTGGTTACCTATGAGAGAGAAGACGGGTCTAGAAGGAGGCCTAAAATAACTTCTCTGGGGTGATGAAATTATTGTATATTTTGATTGGAATGTTGGTCATATGAATATACATATCTGCTCAAATTCATCTAATTATACAGTTAAGATCAATGCATACCACTGTCTGTAAATTTTCCTTGATTTTTTTTTAATGTCAGAATCCCCTTTGTTTTTTTCCCCTAAAGCAGAGGCCAAAAACTCTAGTGTCTATAGAAGCTTGGCAGGTAAGTTAAATGTGTGAGTGGACAGGGTAGACTACAACAGGAGGGCCAAGGGCTGCTAGCAAACTGAAGAGAGAGTGTTCTTGATCACGATCATGTGGACAATACACGCAAAAACAGAACCTGGATTTAGTAGGCGCCTCAAGTGTTTTGGTCATAGTTAGGTTTGTGACACACTGTGCTATATATATCACAGAGAAATTAATAGTCTCTAAACTGTGATATACGAGATGATCTGTTGGAATGTTGGAAGATACTACTTAAGATTTTTTTCGAATTTTCTTCATTCTCTTGTTCCTCACTTTAGAATATAAAAGGGAACCCACTGGAGGGTGTATACCACATTTATCTTGCATTTCCTGTACCAAGTCAACTCATGTCTGGGTTGTGGGCAGCATTCCAAAGAATGCAATGAGCACATAGACATGACACAGGGATAGACACCACGCCATTGGCATGACTGAGCCTCCTTGGAGGAGATAATGCCGCTACAACCATTGTAACTAAGAAACTTTACTGCATGTTTCATTCTTAGGGAAAGAGCACTGCACACTCTAAAGTGCAGGCTGAATTGTGAGTGCTATATAATTCTCTGCTAAAGAAAAAAGAGCTGGCAGCGGGGATGGGTGGTGGTAAGACATGCTTTGTAAGGCCTGTTACCCAGTCAGGCTGTTCTTTGTTCACAGAGAAGCATGCCAACTTGTTGATTAGCTGACCACTGTGGTGGAAGGCAAGCACACCTGTAATCCCAGAGTGACAGCAGCTCCTCTCTGTTCTGGCAGATAAAAGAGCACAGATCCACAATTCTAGGTCCCAGTGTGCCTAGGTAATTCTGCAGGCTAGCCTCACAGGTCACTAGGAGTCCCCACATGGCATGTGCCTGCTTCCAGAATGTATTCCAGTTCACCCTGCTGGTTGGAGAGGTAATCAGAAAGGACTGACTTCTTTCCAGTCCAATGCAATCAGAAAATCCAGAGAAACACAAACACAGCACTCTGCCGGGTCCATTAATTAAAATAAAGATTCAGCCAGGCATGGTGGTTCACGCTGTAATCCCAGCACTTTGGAAGGCCGAGGCGAGAGGATTGTTTGAGCCCAGGAGTTCAAAACCAGCCTAAGCAACATAGCAAGGCCTCATATCTACAAAAAAATCAAAAAGTAAGCTGAATGTGGTGGTGCACACCTATAGTCCCAGCTACTTAGGATGCTGAGGTGGAAGAATTGCCTGAGCCTGGGAGGTCAAGGTTGCAGTGAGTCGTGATCATGCCACTGCACTTTTAAGTGACAGAGTGAGACCTCAACTCAAAAAACAAAACAAGACCAAAAAAAAAGGGATGATAATACCTACCTTATGGGATTGTTGCAAGGATTAAATAAGATAAAGGACCGGGCACAAT